GGAAGTTTTAATGTGTAGGGGTCGCGAGAGAAAGAAGGGTACGGATAGGAGCGGTGAACAGGGTAGAGGACTGGAGGAAGTCGCTACAAGCGGAGTTCGATGATATTTTCTTCAGGGAAGGCGAGGTATTGGGGGTAACGGGGAGGGACGGTGCATGAAATCCCACTGAAGCAAGATATGGTAACCTACGTGAAGGAAAGGAGTTACCCGCAGGCGCTGAGGCAGCATATTCGGGAGGAATTAGACAGCCTAAAGGAGCAAGGGATCATCGTTGATAGTACCTCACCATTTAATAGTCCCCTGTGGGCGGTGAAAAAGAAGGCAGTGCCGGGGGATAACAAGGAAAGATACAGGGTAGTAATAGACTATCGGAAATTGAATGACAACACACTGGATGAGAAGTACCCGATCCCCAGATTCGAAGATATACTCGATAGGTTGAGTGGGGCAGTAGTATTTAGCACATTGGACCTCAAAGCGAGATATCACCGAATACGGATGCACCCAGAAGATCAACACAAAACGGCGTTTACGTTTGAAAGGGGGCATTATGAGTTCACCAGAATGCCGTTTGGTCTGAAGAATGCGCCCATAACGTTTCAACGTCTGATGGACGAGTTTTTGAGGGGTATTGATGACTCGGTATGCCAAGTGTACATGGACGACCTGCTGATCTTCAGTAGAACGGAAGCCGAACACGTGGGGCATCTGAGATCAGTTTTCGAAAGGCTGCGGCAATTCGGGCTGAAATTGTCGAGCGAGAAGTCCCTGCTGGGGCAAACGCGGATTAATTTTTTAGGCCAAACTATCTCTAGCGAGGGGGTCAGACCGGATGCAGCAAAGGTGGAGGCAATCACACGGATGGCGGTACCACGGGACGTTAAGGGGATCCGGAGGCTTCTCGGGACACTTAACTATTACCGGAGATTCGTGCCTGAGATGGCAGAGTATTTGGTACCTATCAACAATTTGCTGAAGAAAGGCGCGAAGATTGTGGTGACACCGGAAATGGAGAACAAGATCCGGAAATGCATGAGTAGGTTGCAGGCAGAGCCTGTATTGGCGTTCCCGGATTTTGAAAAGCAATTCAACATAACAACCGACGCGAGCGAATATGCGTTAGGGGCCGTTTTGTCTCAGGGAAGCAGTGAAGGGGAATGTCCGATAGCATACGCGAGCCGTCGGCTTACGGGTGCGGAATCAAGGTACAGCGCTTTGGAGAGGGAGCTACTCGCGATAGTGTGGGCTATCGACCATTTCAGGCCATACGTATTCGGTAGAAAGTTTCGAGTCCACACCGACCACAAACCCCTTCAGTGGGTAGGGAAACTCAAGGAAACCTCAGCTAGGGTCACGAGATGGAAGGAGGTCCTTAGCCAATACAATATAGAGGTGGTGTATAAGCCCGGAAAGGAAAACGTGGTGGCAGACTGACTCTCTAGGGCCATCATGATCAACGCGGTTGAAGAGGACGTGGGAGGATCATCGCGGGACGTGCGTCAATTCTTGAGTGAATGGACTCCTGATGGCGAAGGGGCAAATGATACCGCAGGTATAGAGGACAGGGGAGAGTCCCCAGAAGAGGAGAGCTCAGCGGAGGAAAGGGCAGCGGAGATGGACGAAATAGATGAGATCGTTAACGACAAACATCGTCAGGTGATCTGGAAGACACGAACAGCCGGGATCATGAAAATAGATTTCAGAAAATATGGGAGGAGTAGGATTCGCGTCATTTGGTCGCAACCCGGGGTAAGCGAAGAACAAATCTGTACGGCACTGAAGGACGCCTCGGAAGCGGGTAAAACGCACTATCTATACGTTGGAAACAATACAGTATGGGATAAGATAAAGCGAATGTGGAGATCCGAGCGAATAGGCGTGGACAGGACATTCATCCGGTGCAAATATGCGGTGGAGACGATACAAGACGAAGAGCAACAGCAAGCAGTCACATTGGCATATCACCAGGGGAAAACCAACCACCGAGGCGTGAACGAGACGTTGCAGGCATTACGTCGAAAGTATTTCTGGTGGGGCATGAAGAAATCCATCCAGGAAATCATTGGGAAATGTGAGATATGCATGCGCACAAAATACGATCGACACCCCCCCAGAGGAGTTCAGGAGGAGACACCTACAGGGAATATGCCGCTACAAGACCTCCAGATCGATACTTTCACCTGGAAAGGGTTCAAGTGGGTCACTATAATCGACGTTTTCAGCAAAGTGGCGATGGCACATCAGGTCATGGACAAATCAGCCAATGCAGTGGCAGAAGCCCTACAAACCTGGGTGCAGTTCTATGGGGTCCCCGAGAGGATTACATCAGACGGTGGTAGGGAGTTCGATAATACCGCGATTAGGGAAGAGGTGAAGCGATTGGAGATTGCGTGGCATTATAACACCCCGGGACATCCTAAAAGTAGAGGCGGCATCGAACGGTTGCACAGCACGCTGAGTGACCACATCCGTGTATATCAGAGAGAAAAAGGGTTGGAGCCGGATGTTGCGATGAGGAAGGCGGTAACAGCCTATAACCACTCGATCCACTCCGTAACGGGATTTTCACCCGTAGAAGTTCTATTTGGGACGCGCAGGCCAAGGCGGGATTATGGGGAAACAACGATTACCGAACCGTTAGTAGAGCAAATTCAGAGCAATAGGGTAGAGGTAGAGAAGACATGGGGAAAGGTAACGACGAGAATTAAGCGGGAAAAGAAGAAGCGGGTGGAGAGGCAGAATGTGCAGGTACGCGACCGAATGGGAGAACTAAAGATCGGAACAATAGTGTACCGTAGATTAGGAACCAACAGAGGGAAACAATTGCTACGGTACGAGGGTCCATTCAGAGTGGTTGCTATTAGGGAGCATAATCTGCTAACTATCGAAAGCGTTAATGAACCCAGAAAGAGGAGAACTGTTCACATTGAACAATTGAAGCTCCCAATGATAGAACCGGAACATAGACCAACGGATTCGTAGTACCCTCACCGCTGTATATAAGAAATATGTTTTTTTTGGCTGTCAAAACATAAATATAGTGTAATTTTTTTTTTTGTAAATAGAATTATAGCAATACTGTAGAGGAAATTGTATTATTTTTTTTTGTTTAGGTTATTAAGAGTTCTGTTCTTGGAAGCAAGTGTTGTGTTTAGTTTCTGTGTTTTTTTTTTTTTTTTCTCTTTTTTTTCCAGCTGAGTGGAAGTGAGTTTTAGTATCTTTTAAGGGTATACTGTAAGAACGATTGTAAAGTGTTACGGCTGGTCACCGTTGGCTCCGATCTAGGAATATTTAAGTTTCCGAAAATCCTGTTCGTAAACTGGTGGGGGGGAGATAAAGACCGGAGACTGGCGATATCAGCCTTAATACCATCTGGCAATGTAAACAAACATGCTAACTGTATATAAGGAGACTTATTGAACGAATAAAGCAGTGTTTATTCAGAAGCCGTGAGTGTTGCATCTCTATCCCTTTCCTTCTTTTTTTTTATTTTTGAAGTCCGACGACGCTTAACTTATATATATATATATATATAAGTTAATTTTAATATGGATTAAAAAAAAAATGTCAAGAAGTTAAAATTACAATTAAATATAATAAATTAAATTAAATTAAATATAATAAAAAATTACATATATGTGTCCGACACCATATCCTTCAAGCAAATAAGCCATAAAAGAAGCTGCATTCCTCATGAAAAAAAAAAGTATACCCAATTAATAGCGTGTATACATACATGCGGAATATCGTTATTACGATATTTATTATTTTCCACTATTAAAACAAGCCAGGCTAGTTCGATGACAGACACCAGGTTGAAATCGGCAGATTGGTGACAGCTGACAATGACCTTGGCAGCCAGCTGGTGGAGCACGGTGGTGGGGAGGTGTGGGTATATTCCTTACGGTAGATAAGCGCCATGCCTGGGTTATGAGCAGCTTAATTCCTAAGACACTTTTTCGATTTTCTTCAAATTTCGTACCATGCTCACAATCCTTTCCAACGACATTCGAGACAATTTTGGACTCGAACGGATGAGAAAAAACACAACAGAGGTGAGTATAACATAGACCCGATGTTGCTCCGTCATAGGCTCAAGCCTAACTCAAACAAAAAGATTTGGACGCGGAGTGAGCTACGAACTCGGAACCTATGAGTTTAAAAGGTTTTCGGGTAATTTGACATGATAATTCCAGGACAGGTATTGACCGAAAATTAGTCCGAGACTTCTGACAGAAGTGTGGAAACGAATAGGTAGTCCATGGAGGTAGAGTAGGGGACAGTATGGAATGGAAATAATCGACTAAGGGCTTTTGAATTCTCTCTTACACAAACGATCTACTTTAAAAATGAGGAAAAACTAACCGCTTACACTTACTAAAACCCATATGGACTTATGTATCACAAATCTACGGGATAGCTAAGGAGAATCTAATTAAAAAAATATAGACTTTCCAATAAAAAACTTTAAGACTCTTCACGCGTTCACCCTTGTATGCCAATAACAAAACATTATCTACAGTCTAACATACATCCATGGTATAGCGCGTCCACTCGGCTGCGCACCTCTACCCACCGGCAAACTTATCTTAGACGGACTCTAGAAGATCGCATTATAAGAGGACATAATTAAAAAAATTGAATGTCAAACTTCATGTACTCACCAACAAACTTATACAAACATGGCCATAAGGAATGTGGCAGAAAACGCGCGACGAAGGCTGAAAAAGAGCTGGTTAAGAGAACTCCTGGATTAACTTTTTGTTTTTTATTTTAAGCTATAAGTAGGTGCCGACGGGTACCGACCTCCCTCATGCCAATCCTGACATGCTAATTATATCAATGAAGATCACATCCGCTTATTGTTACAGGCTGTGACAGGTGTGGGTTTAAAAAATAAATGTTAAAAAAAAAAACTTGATGTTTTTAAAATAGTTATGAAACTAATTCTCAGTAGTACCTCTTTGTACAAGTTGTTAGGCGCTCAAAATGTCACTTTCCCTGCTTCAAACCTATAATACCTGGTTTCTGGAGGAGTTTTATATATTTAGTGTCTGTCATTTTGTTTAATAATACTAGCCCATTAAAACGCAGGTCTGTTATTTTTTAAAAAGCATTTAGGCATTATTATTATCATTTTCTAGTTATTTGTTTTGTGTTTGTATTATTAATTACGGATTTATATTCATAATATTGGTGATTGCATAGAAATTTATTCCTGAATTAATGTAATATTGAGTGTCGGTATATTTATACTTTTTATATTATATTAATTTATTATTATGAAGTTCTTAAATTATATTCTATTAACATGTCGATGAAGGTATCTGAATTTATAAATTATGTGGTTGTTAAAATGATGTTATGAAAAATATTAGTTTTGTTGTCTTAATTGATTATCTTTCTTGTTTAAGAGTACTCAATAAAACAAACTTGATTGATCATTACTACTTTATTATTCTTAATTTGTATATTTTCAGTTCTGAACCTACTTTTAGTCTATTTTAGTGTTTTCAATTTTTCGGATAAAAATAAGTCAAAGCTCGTATTGTAACATGTTGATTAGCGATATATGTAGGGCTTAATTATTCAAATTGCCATTGGGTCAGTCATGTGAATTAAATATGCTACTGAAGATATTGTAATTCTGAACCTTGCAAGGTATTACTGCATAGTTGACTATTATACATCTCTAATTTTCTATCTATGAAAAATCAGTAATTTCTTACAGTAACAACAAAGTTTATAATCGTTCATCAAGACATGGAGTCACTTTCTTTATTCTTTAATATCCTACAAGTTCAATTGGTATCTGTCATTTATACTTATCTCCATCATTTATTCTTAATTTTAAATATGCCTAGCTTGTTTTATAAATTACTGCTCCAGGAATTTTTTAGACAATTGAAAGTGAACCATGGTTCCCATAGCTTCTATAGGCGATCTCTTTGGGTCCATTCTGGCAGTACCCTTCTCACAGACTCCCTCGGGTTCATGGACTGTGACTAATATGTTTAGGTCCATATATTATGGCTGCTTAGATTCAGCAGACGCACTGGACTAGTTTACCTGAAATTTTTTAGTAACTCCATTTATTGATCAGGATGTATTATAATATATTTGATTTGTAAAAGTTAATTGAATCAAATTTTAATCTTTTCAGTATTCTAAATTTGTAAGTATTAGATTCCAATTTTCAACTAATGAATTTCATTATTTGACTCAAAATTCTTCAAAGCAAGCCTAAAAACTTTTCTCACTTTAACACGGCATTCATTAAGTTTATAAATCTCGTGATTTAAGCACCAATCACTGGTAAATGAATAATAATGAATTGATTCTGTGTTTTTCATGACCAACAGGGATATAAGTAATTGTTATCAGTACCCAAATACCTTCCTTAAAATTTAAAATCACTTTCATTGAAGATCACTTGAAATGAAGGGATAATATTTGCAAAAAAATAAATTTAAAATACATTAGTATTTGCTAAGTTATAATCTCACTGAATGCTCATATGTCTTGCAAATTATGTCCTTAATTCAGGAATACATTTTTTTTTATACACTTCAGTGATCTTTTTACTTTCACTTATCTATGTATGTAATATATAGTAAGGGACAGTACTGCTCCAAATCTCAAATCCGAATTTTTAATGGAAATACATGTTTTGAGGTATCCTGAGTCAAAATAACCAAGTTCCGCAAAATGGTCTGTGCGTGTGTATCTAAGTGAGCAGTCTATCTTAAAAATGGAAAGTCGTATAAAAGTGAAATTGCATATTTAAGATTTGTATATATCTGGGATGTTACAGCAACTTTTTCGTCAAAAGCGGCTAACAGGAAGTGGCACTATGTATAATCGATTTTATACATTTTTATGATTTTCTTGAAAAAGGCTCTTAAAATTTTGGTTAAACTCGGTATCTGAGTGTATAATGAAGTGATCTTTAATATGAACCATGTCTTATCCACATTCATGATTTTTTTTTTATGAATATGTTGACTCAAAGCACCTTGACCCTTGAAGGATCTATTGTGAGCCAATTAAGCTATTCGTTTATTCTCAAAACATTATTTTTGCCGCTTCCGCGTATTTTAGTAGGCTAGTTGGATTGATCGACTCATAGCTACTGGGGTGATCCATCCGTTCCTCCCCCAATAGTTCCAGTCTAAGCCTTTCGAATCCATCACATCGACAAATGATGTGAAAGACTGTTTCATTCTCCTCTTGACAGAATCTGCATAGCGGATTCGTCGTCACTCGGAGATTGAACATGTGGTAGTTTAACTTACTGTGGCCTATGTAGATCGCTGTAAGCTTTTTAAGAGCTGCTCTGCCCATACTCAGTAGCAGTTTGCTTCTTTCTTTACACGAACCTTTAATGAACAGCTTCGAATGGCGTTGTTTCTTCTCAGTCCAATATTGTTTAAATATGTTCACACAAATCTCCCTAATCCTACTTTTGGCAGTACTAAGGCTGATTCCACAAACATGTTCAGGAGGTATGGGAATGGTATTAGAGCCTAATCTGGCTGGTTTGTCTGCCTCTTCGTTGCCTAGTATGCCCGAGTGACCAGGCACCCACTCAACTGGAACTCTATTGCGCTCAGTCAGTTTGTTAAGTGCTGTGCTGCATTCCTCAATAACCTTTGAATACACATAATAATTGTTTAGAGCATCTATTGCTGCCTGACTGTCAGTGTAGATTGTAATCTTTTTCTCATTCACATTGTTTTGCAGTAGGTTTTGAGCACAATGGCAAATTGCTAGTATCTAAGATTGAAACACTGAAGCATATCTGCCAAGAGGTATTGAGTCTCTTTCTTTGTTATCTTTGTTAGAGAGCCATCTGTATAACAATTAATACCATTTTTTGGTTTGTGTTGTCTGCTGATGTCTATCTCAACCCCATATTTGCAGTGCAGATATTCACGGATTAGAGTGTCAGAGTGCATGGCTAGTCACATCCAATCCTGTTCAGCAGTACTGAGTGTCCCCCTTGACAGGAGATTACGGACAATCTCTTCAGCTTTCTTATCCTGTATAATGTATTAGTTGCTCGAGCCTCCACCTCCAGCTACAACGGTGCCATGTTCAACAAGACCTCCATAGCAATCTTCGGTGTAGAGCCCATCGCACCCATTATCATCATACATGCTAGTCTTTAGATTTTTCCTAATAAGGATGAATTAACTGCAGTCTTTGTTTTATACCACTAAAGCAAAGCTGAGTATTATATGGTAGGTCTAACTGTCGTTGTATACAGCCAGTATGCCATTTTAGGTTTGAGTTCCCAGTTTTTCCCTATTGCTCTTTTACAGGCCCATAGGCATTTGAGGGCTTTACTTATCACATACTAAACATGTTTAGTCCATGACAGTTCATGGTCAGCTATGTGTCAGTTGGATACCATTAATTTCCGACATTTTAATAAACACCTTTTTCTTCCTAGTGAAGATGCACAAATTTATTTTCCTAGGGTTAATTGCGCTCTTGGCACTTCTTCTTGTGATTCCTCAGGAGCAGGCTTATTGCTCGAAGACAGATGCCTGATTACGTATATGCCACAACAAGCCTGCATTCCATGTGTTGTGAGACTCTGGAGGCTGATCTCCGGTATGTTGAACACTCCGAAGGATCCTCTTTCTAAAGCCTTAAAGTTAAAGGCTACTAATGCCAGTTATGGACGGATTCTGTATCTGAAGCAGGTTGAGATAATGTTCAGCAGGCAGAGCCTTTCCTGGAAAGATCTCTCCGATCCTGGTGATTTTTGTTAGTTCACCTGCCTCACAGGGTTAGACTTTCTTTGATTGTGATGCTTAGTGTAATATTCTTAAACCATTCCACTGTATGGTCGTACAAGCAAGACACCAGACATCCACCGAGTTTGTTGAGTGCTCCAACAAACTTAGGGTGGATATCTCCTATTTTAAGTCCGTTTGTCTATCTTGCTTGTGATAGCTTCCTTAAATTCTTCGCACTGGTCGTAACTGAGTTGGGTCTGCGGATAGTCAACAGGAACCACTGCTACTAACTGTCCTCTCACGACCTTTGTATAGTTTTCAGGCCCTTCGGCTTTCCTTGGTTTCTTAGCTGCTGTAGCTGAGGTTCCTAGGGATGTCCTTGCACATTTTTCCACAGTCAGTCTTGATCTGGGTCTTCACCTTTGAGTCCTCGCAGTCTTTGTTGCTGGCCTGTGTGTCCTCACAGACTTATATGCTGCCTTTTTGGGCGTCACCTTCTCTTCCTCTGTTTGTAGTATTGAAGCTCCCCCCTCCGGCACGGTAGCTTTGTTTGCCAGGCCTTTTGGGGACTATCCTCCACTACCTGCCCTTGAGTAGGCTCCAATTTGCTTGTAGTCTGCCCTTGATCTAAGGCCTCCCTCTCAATACTCTGCATTGTCCGCTGGGCCTTTTAGGGCCCTTGCTTCCTCAGGAGAGTGCTCTACAGGTGGCCTCTTCTCTTCTGGTGTGTTCAACAGTTGAAGGGCTTTTGCTTTTCTTCTATTATGCCTTTTAACATTCTTGATCATCCTCGACGTGGCAGGCCTTGGGTCCTTGGGCTCGTGGTCTCCGCCTTCCGTCTGGTCGAGTCTAGACTGTGAAGGGCTACTTCCTATGATGCCCATTTCTGATTTGTTATTATCATCTACATCCATTAGTTCGGTTGGGCACCATAGCACTGGCCACCTCCATAACTTCCTCTTCCTTCCACTCCGTTTGGACGTGAAGTGTACCAACATCTTCTGTTAGGGTCTTTAAAATTTCACATTGATGTTAAAAATTTAAATGCCCAATATTTAATATTTCTTCCTCTAAAATACCTTTAATTCGGTCTATTTAAAAACATTAACTGTCTCTCATTGTTATGAATTATGAAAAAAGACTATACATAACATTTAAAAGAATTTGATTACTGAATAAAGGAGAAAAAAATAAAAATGCTTATCTAGGTCGAAAATGAATCTCCGGCAATAATTGTCAGAAGGTATACATATAATATATTAATGCAAAGCTGAGAATTTTAGAAAAAATGATATCTAATAAATAAAGTTGTAGAAAGTAACAGAGAGTGATGAATAAAATATAAAT